TTTAGAGATATTAATGATTTATTCATGATATATCTAACCATTTATGCATATATATTTGAATCTTTTACGCTACAAAGAATAATTTTTAATTATAATTATAAAAATAGTTCAGCAAATAATTTAAAGATACCTCTTCCAACACTTCAGAAAGGCACCTCTAAAATAATGGGAATAAAATCTTTTGGTAACTCTTAGAATGTTACCCGCAAATCTCAGAATACTATCCTACCCATTGAATAACTTGGAACAAAAAAATTTACAAGTAATCTTAGTGTTAATAGGCCACTTAAAGCATCTATCTTAATCAAATACCTAGGGAATAGTAAAAGAAATTATTAGAAAGCAATTTTTTCTACTTTCTCTTTTACCAAAATTATGTAAATTATTTTTAGAAATCTTTTATTTTAATTTAAATTAATTCACATTGCAAAAGTATTGAAATGAGAAATGCAACTATCTTTTACACTCTTAAAAACAAAAAATTTACTTTTGTGCTATCAGATAAAGTTATCATTTCCTGCACCTATCTCTATTATTACCATATATTATAGCATATGATTTATCATTAGAGTTCGATAATAATGATAAAGTTAAACAACCTGACTAATTAACATTATCATTACTAACACAAAGAATACTTATCAATAGATAGATCAAGCAAATAATTCAACGATCGAAATCATAGATTATATATTTGTAAATGTTTTCCGATGAATGGATATTTCTGCAATATATAATATATACATTTGTTTTCCTATACATACGGAAAAAACAAATGCTTCTAAATTCTAAAAAAATTGAAAAAGACTGCAATGAAGGCCTGTAAGCAAAGTTATATTTTTAATAATGAAAATGACACTAAAAATATGCTTAGCAAGTACTAATAAAAATTATCATACTATATGCATTTGTAGCACTGGCATTGCTGAATTCCAAAAAGACCTTGAAGAATGAAATTTAAGGCCAGCAATTGATCCTGTTTATCAAATATTAATAAACAATCAACGGATAAATGTTTATCATATACTATATTTATAAAATTCTCTATTGTCTCCGATTGAATGCCTTTGTAAATATAAATAAATCAATTTAGTAAATAAAAGTAATCCAATAATAAACAAACATATGCAACTGTTTACGCAAATGACTTAAACATTTGTTAAAACTATATTTCATTGTTCTCTGCAATTTCAATGACAGCATTTTTCAAATGCTAGCACTTAATGAGCTTCAATAATCCCTTGAGTTATATAAATATTACAATGACATCAAACAAAAAAGAAAGAGCAAAAAATTCTCAATAATTTCAATATAAAAAGTTTTCAATAAATATTTTATAGAAATAGAAATGCTCTAATATAAATCATACATAGAATATTAAACATAGAAATTAATTTGATTTGTTGCACATTTTGTCACCTTACCCTCTCTCTATTCCTTCTTTTCCAGGCAGCCTATACATTGCTTTATCAATTAGTTCATTGCTGTGAACATAATCTGTGCTACTTTGCTCCTATAAAATGTATCAGTTATCTAATGATCGTCACAAATTTAAAAAGTCAACGCAGAAAATGACTTTTAAATCCATTAAATTCACTGTGATGAAATCAAATATATCTTATCGTATTCGGATTAACAACAAAAATGTAAGCTGAAAAATGAGAATCGTTGCATTTTTTTTGATTAATTATTATCATCATATCCACTTGTGGAATGTGTGGAATTTTGGTTACAGTATGGCAGTATTCATTCCATTTCCGTTTCATATGTTTAATAGAAGCGCCTTCACTTCAACCGTAACATCAATCATTTGATCATCAAAAATTTGATTGACCTGCTAAAACTGCTAAACTAGTAAATTAATGAAGTTTATGCTCGAGAGACTTTTTAAATTGCAGGAGTTTTAATGGGTGGAGAACTTAACAGATTGATTGAAAATATCATTCAAATTATGGCAGTTGAATAGTTGAAAATAAGAGAGATGATGTATTGAAACTCAAAAGAGTTTCAATTCCTTTGAGAGTAAAAAAATTGAAACTCAAAAGATAATTTTTCATATTTCTCTTGAAACACTATAAAATAGGCATCTTTTTCGAAGAGTTTTAAAAATGAAATACTCAATTTATATTTAAATTTAAATACATTGTAAAATAACAAATTTATAAAAAAATTCACAATAATTAAAGGTATTGCGAGAAAAGACCTTAAAATATTGTTTGAAAGTTTAAAAATAAAAGAAATTCAAACTAATCAAAATTTTGATAAGCCTCAATTTTTTGCTCTTTAAATGTTGTTGGCATATACGAGAGAGTAAATTATTATTTTAACAATTTAAGCTAAATAAAATCTAATCTTTTTGATAATCATATGTAGAAGAGGAATTTTGGATTATTGCTTTTTTTCAGCTCATTCTAATCTTTCTTCTTCCCTAGTTATGCCATATGTTTTGATCGATCTCATCAACACAATTATGTATCAGTCAAATGATACAATACGGACAGAAATTACATGATATGTGGGAGAGAATTTCCTTGTTATGCATCGCTCACATATAAAATTGCAAACAAATGTTAATCTATGAAATTCTCAAAATGCAAAAAAATTCGCACAAATAAAATTAATGAGGAGAAACTGAAATTATTTATCTGAATTTACGAACATAATATTTCGACAAAGACAACAACTAAAGATTTTTAAAGATTTTTCTAAAGATTTTTCATATCTTTAATAAGTTTATAAATGTCGAGTATAGTTCAGAAAAGTCTGTCCATATTATATTTACGTATGCGGCATAACTCAGATTGAAAACGTTTGGATCTATTTTACGTATAATTGATCGGATTGGCGTATATATATATATTGATTACATAATCGAAACTGTTGTAAAAGGATTTACCTCACATATGTTTTTCACTTCCAGTTATTCAATTCTCATGATCTGAATCATATTTGGATTATCAATTGCATTAAAGATCCTGCAATTCAAAATCCCTCAAATCTTTATTTCGTTGCCTATTAGCTTAGCCGTTTTGTTGGTCAATGAAATTTAAATATTATGCCAATTTTTTGCAGCAGAGAGCTGAACTTGGGTAGAAGAAATTGATCTACTCTATGAATATGTCAACTTGAAGGAGATCTGGTGAGCGGAACGGTTGCGCTATCAGGAAAAGCAACAGCAGCAAAAATGAAGTCGATTTTAGCTGTGTTAGTTTCAGGTAATGAAGATTTCGATTTAATTTCATATGTTTTGTAGTATAGATTTTCTTAACCGCTCAAAATCCTTTAGCACATTTTCAGTTATTTCAATCAATTACTACTTAATGACTAAATTCCTCGAAGGTTTCAAACCATTTCATCCCATTACTATTTATGACATGTCATTTAGAATCCCATTTGTGATTTCGATGTGTTGATTGGAGTGAAAGAGGATTAAAGACAGCGTACGATACAGAGAAAGAATTAATACGACGCACTGCAATCAAAATTCTACATTCATAAATAGTGAGCATATAAGCATAATATCTGTTGAAATCTACGATTGATTGAAAACATTTATGAAGAATGTTGCAATTCGCAATTTTCAGCTTACATATTTGATTTCATTCAGGTGGCAATAGATTTAAAACTCATTTTTCACAGTGTATATTTCCTTCTGTCAAACTAAATCCATGAAGATTATTCCAAAAAATGATAAATTTTGTAGGACCGAAGTGGCAATAATTCTATTTTATTCGACTGAACAATTCATAAAGCAATGTTTAGACCTACGACGGAAGGCTGATTTATTTTCATAAAAAAATTGCATTTCAATAAAATTTAATTTTTCATTGTAGTTTACATTTCCTTTTTCCTTTCACTTGCAAATTCACACTGATAACATCAATATTGGATATCAATAGAACAAATGAAAGTATTCGAGTTTACTGATAAAGGAATGAGAAAGTTTTGGTGAAATTAGGAATACACTGTATGCTTACTTGATGTAAGGCTGAGGAAAAATTGAAAATGGAAGCGTCAGAGATTGAATTTGAAATATATAACTTCTATTAATCACTTCAGAAATATCAAATATTATGAGATAGCAAAATTGATCGAAGACGATCAATATTCAAAATTTATTCATGTAAAATCTTTTACTCATTGTCTTATAATAAAATATAAATTAAGCAAATTGATTACAACAAAAATTTGTGATGGAAGAAATGATAAGCAAAATTCTCTGAAAAAATTTAGCGACATTTAATTATAAAATCATATAAAATTCTGCAAAAAGTCGGCTTTTAAATTTTTATGAGAAGTTTTAATTAGGAAGTTTTAAACAAAAAAATGAAATGATAATGTAGAGATCATTGATAAGAAGTGAGGAAAAGAAAAAAGCATTTTATCAGAAATAAACTAAGAACTACACCTGAAGCATCGATCTAAAGTATTTATAAAATAAATTCCATACAAGAATTTATTTTCAAATTTCAAAAAAAAAGATCATTGAAAATACTTAGTATAATTCCTATAAAAATGCAACAAATTATTCAAATTCTGAGAGAAATAAATTAGAAAAATCCTTCTAAACATTGTTTCCAATAATCTGACACAAATAACAGTACAAATTATTTTTCTTACTATAGGAAGCATAAATTTTATTCGAATAAAAATTTGTAATCGAAAATTTTTTTAATTGACTTCAGATTTACTATTATATTTAATAATTAATCATAATTTCCGAGCTTATTTATCTTTCTAATCAAGAAAATCTGAATTTCTTCTCTTACCACTGAGATTCTTTTAAACGATTACATTAAAAAGGAGTGAAAGAGCAATGAAACATATAAAATTAATGATTACAAGTAATATGCATTTTTTTCAAACCGATTATCTATTTTGGTTGAATTGATAGAAATAATTGAAATTTTCGAATCGTTCAGTTTACAATGAATGAAAATCTGTGTTTCAATTAACAATGGTAAATTCTAAATTTTGAAACATTTCCTACAACAATTTCATCAATAACCGTATCCTTTCGGATCGATTTGAATTACTGGCATTGCTCTATGATCTTCTTCCTCATCACTACTTGAATCTGCATCGTTATGCCTTTTTGCACCAATTTCTGCATCGGAAAAATCGATCCTGTATCTAAAATTAAAAGCTAAGCAAAACGATAAATTTGAATTTTAGCACTTTTATATTTGATTATTGCTTAATTGATAGAAGAAGTGAAGCCGGCGATCATTCAAATTAATGATTACTTCACTAAACAGGTAAAAAAGAAAAAGAACTCTACCCTCCATGCAATTCTTTCACTTCGTCTGGATTAAACATCGCTTTATGCGGTTCAGGTATGTTTTCTTGATTGGCTGTTAGATTAGCTACAATTGGATCAAATGTAGCATCCATATCCAAATGAGAGCATTGAACATAATCTATTTCAACCTGAAACAAATCTGGAATGCATGAATGAGAAACAAAGATAAAAATGTAGTACTTAAATTAGATAGCACATTTTAAGACTGCTTGAGTTCAGAAGGATCTATATTATAAAAATCGAACATTAATTAAATTAATTACTTAAATCACATAAAAATTCTATTGGATATAGTGTCTTTTGCTGCATAATAACAAATAGATGAAATCCAAACTTTGTAAGTACACTTTGCCACATATCGTACGAACTTTTCCACCCGATCGCTATCTTCATGTTTCTCAACGCTTACTGATCGTATCACTGTATTACTGACCATTGCAAGCGGCATTGTAAATTCCACATCACATGTTGGCGTAAATGTTTCGGGCATCAGATCGAATGATGAAAGTTCAAAACGACAGCGCAATAAATGTTCCTTATATGCAGCATGATACTTTTCTGGCAGACGTGGAATACGCCAAACTAAAGCTCGAAAAACATGCTCATATTTTGCTTCACCAATAGCTGCTTCGATGAGTGAATTGTCGATATTGTGCACTGTACCCATCAGGCGATCTTTGAGATTCTGAAATTGGTGGAAGAAAATTTTAAACTTTATCAGACAGCTTAAATCACTGATGATTCATATTTGAATTCGAAGCTAATGACCAATAATTCCACCCATTAAAAAGCTGCAAAAATAAAAACGAAAGAAAATTCCTGATAATGAAAAATATCACTAAGATTTCACATATATTTAGGAATAGATAATGATTTGAACTTTTTACCTTAACTTTACCCGGACATCTCACTTTTGCATGCACTGATCCGACACCCCATCGTCGTTCTTCACGGAACAAATAAATCCATGCTTCAGGTACTGGAAAACGAATCTGAATATCCTCACAGGGTACTTGACGTTTACTACTAAGAACACTTTTTGCTCTTTCTGTTTGTGCCGCTGCCATAGCTTCAATTCGAATTTCAACCTAAACAATATCAAAATTCGAAAAAGCATCATTCTGAAAAATGTCATATTTTAAGAAAGATAATGTCAAAGTTATTGAAAATAAACACTTAAAATATACCTTAGAACCGGCGATTTTCATTACACATTTTACTGTTAATGGTTTCTCGCGATTTTTTGGCGGCCTTACTCGAAATCTCATTACCTATTAAATATTTTAATTTACAAATAATCGAAATCTTTTAAATGTTTAAAATTTCAAATACTTAAAATAATTTTAAATCTTTTTTTCATTCATTAAACTTTTTTCTCCAACATTAGTTAATGATGGTGGAAATAACAGACACATTTAAGTTAATTTATTTTAATTCAATTAAAAATCAAAAAAGATGTGCAAAAATATATTTGACAATTAGTAGATATATTCTTGAATGTTATTTTTTGTTGTGCATGAAACTATATATTAAAACCTTTGACAACGAAAACATTCAGATGTTAGATATCAGCTTAATTCAAATATGGAAATTTGGAATTTTGAATCCTTCCAATTTTTAATCTTGTGATTCGTCATTAGAGGATTTAGATATAAGCATAATTATTTCTTTCTGCATTTAAATCATTAACAAAGTAAAAAAATAATAAATGAACCTCAAAAAAGCATCCATCAGGTGGTGAAAGTCGAATTACTTGCTCCTTTTCAAAGGCTTCTTGCTCAACCGTATTGTGAAATTCAACATTTTCAAATCGTATCCATCTTTCGGTATACATCGGTAAAATATCTTTCCGACGTACTATTTCCTAATATTTCATAAATTACTTGCATACGATAAAATAATTTAATGTTGGCATAGAAATAATTGTAAAATACAATGGAAATAATTAGCTAGTAAATTTTCAAAATGATATTAACCAACAAACCTTTCCCTGCCTACGACGATCATTAAGACCAATTTCAAGTATGGGTGATCCGGAAATGAATGCAAGGCAAAATAATCGTACACGAGCTTTCTGATCGCTTAGAGTATTGAATTTGTCCACATAAGCATTATATTCATCATAGCAATGAATCTTTTAAAGAAATATAAAAATTCTTTGATAAAACAGTAAAATTATCTTTGCTAGTTTAATATTTCCATATTAGTCTTCCATTTCATTACGTATCGCTACTTTATTTTTACATCAAAAAATAATTATACTGTAGATTATATATTTTAATATATTATCATGAAAACTTCCATTAATTACAGTGATAACTTACATGTAGAAGTTATTATCAGCAAAATTTAAAAAAATTTATAAATAGGGAATTTGAAAATTGAGTAAATCAAGTACTGATAAATTATAACTAATGATTGATGAAGGCTTTAAGACTTTAAAATTTGATTCTTAGGTGAATTAGCAATCATTCAAGTTTTTTATTACAAAATTATGCAACAAAAAAATTATTACTTGAACTTCATCCTGTTTATATAGAGGTATGTTATTTCGTAGAGCTACACAACGAAATAGTATATCCTCAATAGTAGCAACAAATGTAAACAATTCTGCCGCATTTAACGATCCAAATTTTAGTAATACTGTACACTGCGCCGAATGTTCTAGTGGTAAACCATATTTCGTCACATGCCCTTCTACCAACCGTGAAATTTGTCCTGAAAATTTTCAATAATTTGTCTTAATAATTAGAATTTGAAAACTTTGATTAGAATTATAATTGAGCTGTAAATTGTATAAATAATGACTAAAACTAAGGAATACCATAAAATTTCATATTAAATTAAAATTTCCGACTATCGGCATCCTTTTATATACCTGGTCTTATGCCAACCCGCTCTTTATACGAAACATACTGCAATTTCACTGTATGAATTTTGCCATAAACATCGTATGCTTGCAATGTCGGATCCGAAAGAGAATAGGTCGCCTTAAGTTATGAAATTATTGAAATTAATTAAAGCTTGTAAGCCTAAAGTTTTCATTTTCTTCTAATTAAACAGTTGTCGTTAATTCAATAATTATAAATTATAATATTAAATTATAA